GGGGGGGGGGGGAGACTCCTGCTCTCCCCAGCCTGCTGTGCACACTCCGGTGACGGAGGGATCTTTTTGCCGGGAAGACGGGCATGTCCGTAGCCATGGAAACAACAGCTGCTCCTCCGACTCCAGGGTGGCAAAAAGGAGGATGGAGCGCCAGGCTGAGGAGGAAGGGGCTGCTGCGGTGGGAAGAGAGGAGGAGGAGGGAGGAGGAGGGAGGGAGATGATGCCTGCCTCCCTCCCATCAGGGATGACAAGGTGGGTACCATTCAGACTGGCACAACCCACTAAGGGCGCAAAGGTGCAAAGGGTAGCCGTGGGGTTTTCTTAAGGCAGGGGTAGAGAATACGACAACTGGGAAGTGGGTAGGTGGGTGGGTTTTTTTCTCCCAGAACGCGGAGAGGCCTGCTTGTCTCTGGCTCTCGGCCGCCATGCTCTTAGATGCCTCCAACCTGACGGTCAAGCCCTCTTCCTCAAGTCTTTGGGAAACCTGGCCTCCCTTCCTGGCCTCCGAGGTTTTGCAGTGGCCGAAGCCCTCGGCCCCTTAGCATTTTCATGGGGCCACTGCACCTGCCCCCCACGGCATGACCCCATAGGGCTACAGGTTCCTTCCGAGAGCAGGACCCTTGATTTGCAAAACAGCCAGGAAGTCAGGATGCAACGTAGGGCCACCCTTGAGCTCACTTAGGGGTTTCCAACATTTTTACATTTACCTTTATGTGCCACTCAGTACCCTCTATATTAGCAAAGTGTTTGTCATTTACACGGTTGCGGTTATTGCTGATTGATAGGTGGTAACTGAAAACAAATAGCCCAATAATGGGATTATAAAGCAATGGAAGGATAAGGTGAACAGGTCGTGCCTATGTATTTACACTCACAACTCCAAAGGCACAATGGATTCGAGAAAAGGCATCGCGGGAGACCCAGAAAGACTCATTCGTTGAACAATGGCTGCAGAACTGACCGAGGGGCCCGCTTCTATAGACGCCGATACCGACTCGACAACCTTCGAATGTTCGCGAAGCAGAGGAGAGTGAAAGCCGAGCCTGTGAAAAGCGCACTCCTGAGCATGCGCACTGCAGTGTTGTGGTTGCAACACATTGTTTAGGAAGGACTCCACACCCTTCACCAAAATAACAAAGAAAACCTGCTCCTCCGCGCATCAGTTACTTTCCCAGCCTCTGACGTGTATCTCGTTTTACACTGTTGACTTTGGTGCCTTTTCCCCACCATCATTCGGCTTCTTTCATGTATCTATTTATTTATTCATTAAATTTATCTCCTGCCCCTCTAGACCATGTCTACTCGGGGTGGCATGTACCCCAAAATGGCCTGGTTCATGCCCCTGGGGGTTCACGTACCCCACGTTGGGAATCACTGGTTTAGATGGTGATGGTGACACTTTCCACAGATGGAACATTGGACAGAGTTTTGGGAAAATCCGTGTTAAAATAGGAACAAGAAAGCCAGCGCTCTGCCCCATCCCTAACTACAACACCCAGCATCCCTCACCATCAGCCGTGCTGCTGGAGGCTGATGGACTCTGGAGCCTGGCGCGATGGGGAGGGCCACAGATTCCCTAAAACTGCTGCCTATGAAGAGATGGCTAGTTCTGTACTTATCCAGCCAGGAGCACACCGGGAGGATGGTAAGAGTGTAAGCACACATCAGCAGACACAACATGCCCCATGGGATGCTTGCTGGCCCTGTGAAGTTTTACGGGCACAATTGTGTTGGCTGTTGACACGCTTCGCATACAGCGCGCATGCCAGAGATCCGTGTACCTGCTGGTTCCAGCAGTGACCAAGAAGATGCAGGAGGGGAGATGCTGGAGGAGGACCTGAGGTGCTACCCTACCGGTGGCTGGGAGGCGTCTGGGCACCCCTGCTCCCCGAGGAGTGGAAGTGCTCAGCACCCATTTGTGCTCAGCACCCTACGGAGAGGGGGAGGAAAGAAGACCCCCAGGGCCACCGTGGTGCTTGCTCTGCGTGTTACTATTCCTTTTCATCAGGGCCATAAAGATCTGGTTTATTTGCTCAAAGGTCCGCGTACGGGCTGCCATGTCATCGCCACATTGTCTACCGAGCTAACGTTTAACCGCGGCGCTCTTTCATCTGGCGGCTGCTGTTCCGCCAGCTCCGGGCCCACGCTGGCTGCCTGCAAGGGTGGAGACGGGGCAAGGCTGATGCCCCCAACTGTTTGGGCATCCTGATCCAAGAGGGAAGGAAATGCCTTCAGTGGCTATAACGCTCAGAATGGGTGCAGTATTCTGGGAGCTGCAGTGAAGGAAGGAAGGAAGGAAGGAAGGAAGGAAGGAAGGAAGGAAGGAAGGAAGACCACCCTTGTGCCCCAAATACTTTCATCTTTCGGCAACTTGTGGGACTTGTGAGCATTTTACATGGTGGAAGGCAAGGAGATTCGGAGACGGACCAGAATATTCAGAGTAGTTTCCTAGGGCGTCCTCTTCGTTCCCCCAGCCAGGGATGTTGGCAAGTCTTTGGATCCGAGTTCAAAGTCCGCATCTATATCTTTGGTACCAAATTCCAAGCCTCTGTGTGGGTTTTTTTTCGGTTTGTTTTTTGCTGGGGGTGTTGGAGAGTACAATGTTGGAGAGCACAACGCCCAGGATATCTGCAGAGACGTCAGAAGTTACTTTTTTTTTTAAAATTCCACCTGGCAGAATACATCATCAGCTGGGAGGGACACCAGGCTGCTTGGTTTATTTCAGAACGGCAGTCCAAAATAAGTAACTTTCCTCTCTTCTGGGGGTCGTCGCGCGAAGACGTTCTTCATCCTTCCCAACTTTCGGCAGCTCTATGAATTAGTGACCTCCACAAGGTCCTGTTGTCAACAATCCTGTTGAGGTCACCCGTGGCTTCCTTAATGAATTTAATGCATCTCATATTAGATCTTCCTCTTCTCCTATCAGCTTCAACGTTTCCTAGTGTTTTCATCTTTTCCACTGAGTTTGTCTTCCCATGATATGTCCAAAGCACAAGAGCCTCATCTTCATCATCTTGTGCTTCTAGAAAGGCTTTATTTGGTTTAGAACCCACTTATTATGTCTTTCTGGCAGTCCAGGAGGGTTCTCCTCCAAGCACCATATTTCAAATGAATCAGTTTTTTCCCCCTGCTGGTTTTCTTCGATGTCGGGGAATAAAAGAGCATGCAGAACCTTAGCCTTGATCTCTGGTGTCACCTCCTTTCCTGATCTCATGGCTTCAGCCTCACCCGGACACTCCATTATTATTGCAATTACTGGGTCCGAGGTGAGACATCTCAATGCGATGCCCATCCCATGCACTAATTAGCATAATTAATATGTCAGCCACAAACATTAGGGCAGACAGATATATTGATGTCGCACCTCTGTTCCTTTTTGGGTGGATTATGGGGTTCAAGCGAATCAAGCACATGCAACTCCATGCAAACGTCCGGCAATAAATGCACAACCGATTAATGACACAACAAATCTCCGGCTTTTACGCCATGGGGCCCACCTGCATTTTACCTTGAATTAATCAGCAGCGAGAAAAATGCTCTGGAAGCCATTCCGTTCTAAAGCGGAAGGTGTGAGATCATTTCAGAGAAAAGGTAACTCTGTGCATGCTCAGAGGCCCACTTCTCCTCCCCAGCAGCAGCTAGAGCTGGTTGTAGTTGGGGGCGAGGAAGGTGCAGAAGCCCACGGGAAGGACCCGGGGAGAGGGGGGATTGCTCGTAGCTATTGCAAACCCACAGTCCTGCTGGGGAATTGAGCAGGCGGGGAATTCAGGCGAGGGCCTGCCCACCCATTGCAGGAAAGAGGCATTTCCCCCCATATCCCTCTTCTCGTTCTGCTTGCAAGCAATTATTTATGCCGCTTTGATTTTAGGGTTATTGTCTCTGTGTGTTTTTTAATTTTAATTTGATTATTTGTGTGTGTTTATTGCTGTAAACTGCCCAGAGTCGTGCATGGCAGGGTCCAACCGGACGGCGCAGGCGAGCTGGCTGGTGTTCCCGTCACACTGCTTGGTGGGGTGACGCCAACTCTCCCCCCACTCCCACTCCCACTCCCTCCCTGCCTCTTCCTCAGGCAGGCCATCCGCGGGTGGTGAAGGAGCCTTTATTTATTTTTTTGCCCCGGCCGCTTGGCAGGAAAGCAGCTGAGCGCGAGGAACCCCTCCAGCGCTCAAGTGACCCACTAACCTTGTTCCTCGGGGAAAATGCAGACCGGGCGGACTCCCAGCCTAGGAGGGCTCGCCCAGGCGGCCCGCCTCGCTCGCCCAGCCCCCTGCTCGCCCAGGGACCCACTCCCTCCCAGGCCTCGCTTGGCTCCTGCCGGCCACTCCGTCCTATCTGGGGGTCTCCGGCTGCAAATTTGCTCCCTTGATTAAATGCATGCATGCACAGCTCTGTCAATGCCCAGGGTCTCCCTCTTTCCCTCCCATGAGCGCTGGCCTCTGCCCGTCTGCCCGCTTCTCGCTCACTCTTATGCACACATGCCTCTGACACACACACACACGTGCCCACAGCTTCACGAAGAGGGATGGTAGGAAGGGTGTGTGTGTCCTTTGGCGGACTGCATATTCCTGGATTCTGGGTCCCATTAGAGTCCATCAGCTTCTGGAAGGCCACAAGCACCCCACCCTGGGCTTATCCGGCCATGCGTTGGTTAGCCTTTATCCTGGCACAAGCCTCTCGCTTCTTAGCCGTCTTGGGGAGCTGCTTATGGCAAATCATTCTCCCCCACTGTGGTCTACCTCGCAGGGGCCTTTCTAAGGGCCTTAAAGCCACGGGAGAGGCTTGTGGGCACGATTCCTGGCCATTTTGGGGAGATTGGAATGGAAGAAATGGAACCTCTCCCTTTCTCTCCCCTTTTTTTAAACAAGGCTCACATCGGAAGGCGCAAACCTACATGTGTAGCCACCTCCCGAAACACCCGTGGCCCCATTCTGTCAGAGGCGCATGTCTCTGCTTGCATGCGTGGCCTCCTTTTGACTTTCCACGGAGTCTCTCTCTCTCTCTCTCTCTCGTCCTCTCTTGCCCACCCTGCAAAAAGCTCAGACGCTCCATGGGCACCGCCTGGGTCCAGCGACCAGCTCTTCCTGTCCCTCGCTTGCTTAGTCAAGAGGAGGGGGTTCCCCAGAGATCCCAGATACCCCCCTTCCTCTGCTCCCCCTTTCACCGGCCCAGAGCGTTGCCCGGGGGGGGAGCACCACTGGGCTCCTGGTGGTTTTCCTCTGGCTCCAGGCCCTGCTCCTGCTTGTCGCCCCCCCATGCAGCCGGACTCCCGGTGGGTCTCCCCCTGCCACTTGGCGTCGGGGAGAGGATCGGCCGAGAGTGGCCGCTTTCCTAGACAGCACCCTCCCCGGCCCAGCTTGTGCGATGACCTCATTTCTCTCCGCTGCTTTTTAATAAACTGGACACCGCCTGTCATTCATGCGCTGCGGCTGCGCATGGGAGGCTCTCTGCGAGGGCCGCCATGTGGCGAGGCCGCGGCAGGGGGGTGGCGGGGGAAGAGACGGCAGGAAGGAAAACAGAGAGGAAGGGCGCCCGCCTGTCCCAATGTTGCTTCTCTCGACCAGGTCCTAGTACTGTAAAAAGTTGCCTTTGCAAACGTTGCTTTTTAATCCCCCCCCCCGCAGCTGCAAAGCTAGATTGCTGCTGAATATGGAAGCTCCATCTAAACACTCCCCCCCCATCCATGAATGTGTCTCGCATGGCAAAAGCCATGAATGCAGATAATTCGCTCTACTGGTAATTAAAATATCATTATGGTATCAGATTAAGAACTGCTGGACAGCTCAGTGTTTTAGTGGAGAGCCGGAGGCCGGGAGTTTGATTCCTCACTGTGCCTCTCTGGGAGGGGCCGGAGATGATGATCCAGAGGGTCCCTTCCAGCTCTGCGGTTCCAAGATGATGATGAAGTATGCACAATGAAGTCAGGCCAGCCTTCAGGCAGAATCTAGCGCTCTTTACCTACGCAAGAGCCCTGGGTGGCCATCGGCCGCCTCTCAAGACCCATGCCGCGGAGTGATAAGAGGACGGCCTCTGTCCCAAGAGTCCTTTCTGTTACCCAAGCCAGCCCTCCAAGGGTTAAAGCCACCCACGCCCGGCGCGGCTCCCTCTTCGCCAAGCGCACAGGGTCATTTTGCTGTTGTTCCTCTGGAGAGAACAATGTTATCTTTATTTCTTTTGTTGGGTACTGTAACTAAATTGTCCCCTGAGTTAAAGATTACAAAGAACGGAGGAGGTGGAGGCTGCCGGAGGAGGAGAAGAACACCTTCGGCCCCCTCGCTTTCGGGGTTGGCCAAACAATGAAGGTCTTTGAGACAGAAGGGTGTGATTAACTCAGGGAACTCACCGCCACAAGACTCAGGACATGGCCCGTAGATCAGACGGCTTCAAATAAATAAGAGTGATATCCATAAGAGGAGAGGTCAACCGAGCGATATCTCTGAGGCGAGCATGGAGGCTGCATTGCTGCCAGACCACAGATGATGGGCGTTGCCTCCAAAGCGTGGCACGTCTTGAGGTGTCCAGTTGGCCACCCAGTTTTGTCAGTGCAAGGGTCGGCCCATTTATAAGGCAAACGAAAGCAGTTGCCTCAGGCGTCAGAGGCTGGGAGGCGGCAGAACGGTGCTGGAGGAGAGAACGGCATATACTGCGTGCCTTGTGTAAAGCTGCTGCCTCCAGAGGTGTCAGGGAACGCTTCCCGTGGAATCCTTTTGCGCGTGGAAGGGTCAGCGGCACCCCTTGACTCAGGCAGCAAAATTTCTTGGGCAGCAAAATGTTCCTATGCAAGACTGCTTTCAGGTCCTCGCGTCCTTCTGAGGAGAACACAAAGATGCATGTCCTAACCCCCCCCCAACACACAAACTAAAAAAAGACAAAAGAGTGGTTTTAGAAGCCGCCCCCCTGCGATGCACTGGAAGAATGAGTGATGATGAGGTTCTGTATCCACAGCTCACATTATGGTGTGCTCTAGCCATGCTTCGCACGTATCCGGTGAGCCATCGGAAAAGAGCACGTGTCACTGCGTTCTAAAATGGGGATAAAATGTACTTTTTATGCATTGACGCGAAAACCAGCAGCTCTTCCCCGGGGCCCTAGTTTGCAAATCATTTGCATGAATAATGTCCACGCCAATCTCCAACGGCATACAGTTTTGCTCAAAAAAGAGAGAGAAGCAGCAGCATGCTTTCCACGAAGATTCATTGCTGTAAATACATAGATACACTCCTAATACTTTGCTCATTGATCTTGGTTTCCTCTCCTCTTCCTCTCTCATTGTTTATTTATCTGTTTACCTTTGCCCTGCCTCGCTGTTGCTGCCTTTCCAGATGATTAGATTGTAAGATCCTTGGGGCATAAATCATATCAGGAGTCTGCTTTATTCAAGCACAATCTTGATTGGATTCTTAACCCCCCCAGTCAGTGGTCTCTTCCCTGATGTGATGCAAAAATATGGGCCAGGCTTTGAGTCAGCCACTAAAAAAAAACAATAAGGTTTCCAAAAAAGATGTTGATAAAGGAAAGGTGTGAGGAGGCAGGAAATGGCTCACATTTTTGCACTGCTGGTGGTGTGGGTCCGGGGTGACCTAGCTATCTCCCCGTGATCACAGGATGCCCAGAAAATCACGAACCAGCCAGACCCTGCTCTGAGTGCATGCTGGACATTTGTGGTCCAGCCTCAGGGGCTATGAGTTTTTGGAACTGGGACAGAGCAATCTCTGCCTGGATGGAAGGATCACTATAAGGAAAAATCATTCCCCCAAAAAGTGATCCTTCACGGTCCGGTCCGACGCCATCCTTTCTCACTGTCCGATCGCGCTCTAACGGATTAGGGTTTCCCTCCATCATGCCTTTAGCCATTCCTGAACAGAACAGGATAAACGTGGCTATGCTGTGTCAGACCAGGTGGGCCTCTCCTCCTGGATCCTCTTCCTACAATGGCTCTCCGGATGCCTGAGCAGGTTTACGCAGGACGTCTCCACATGGGACCTGGGTGCGAGAGTATTCTCCTGAGCTTGTTCCCCCTAGCTGATATTCAGTGGTGTTTCTCCTTCCCCACCCCATAAGAGGCTGCCTGGGTTCTGGGAGGGTCTCGCAAGATCTTTTCCCCTGTTTTACCAGCATGCGTGGCCAGACGGGGCCTCCTTGGTGGCTGCTCCCATCGGTCCTCATGTTTCCTTCTGCTAATAAACAAAGCTGCTCTACATATAGGTTTCTGGGCTTGAAGTTGAAATCAGTTTTAACTGGCATGAGATGCACTTCTTCCTTTATTGCACAGAGAATTTTCATCGATTGGTGCTTATGCTTCCTCTACCAGTTGATCTCATATTTTATTGTTCTGAGTTGCCCTGTGTGCTTCTGGGTGTGGGGAACTTGGAAAGAAGGATAATAAATAATAAGGATAATAAATAAACACAGTCCAACCAGCGGGGCTGATTCACACCCTTGCTGGCTTTTCATAGATGGAAACTGGAAGATACCCAACAGAACTGTCTGTCTTACACTAGAGATCCTTTCCAAGGCGCTTTGCTGAAGGCTCTCCATACTTTCACATCCTTTATTCAGTCCTTCTGCACCAGCCATTTCTGCGCTGCTCTAGAAACCAAGACAGCTTTTGCTAATTTGCTTATAATTACGTTAGCATCTTCTCCCTGCAAGCTGTTGCCCAAATGCAATCAGCTTCAGCAGCCTGTGATCTGGCGGGTAGGACCGCTTTGGCATGGGCAGGTTCCAGGTTTGCAAGATCTGAGCTGATTCCTGCTAGAAAGGTGAAAAAAAAAAAGATAGCAAGTCCCAAATTTTTTTTTGGGGGGGTAGCACAGGGTTGATCATTGTGATTTTCTTTATTTAAATTGCATTTATCGGTAGCTTTATTTATTTTATTGTATATTTGTGGTTTCCTTTTGCTAGAAGACATTAAAAAATGTATTCTACCTTCGGCGTACCCCTGGCGCACATGCGGTCTTAATGTCCAAGGTGCTCCTTTTACATTTACGCACAGTAGGGATCGTTTGGCCCACCCCCCTCCGACTTGGGTATTTAAATTCTGTAGGTCTCTGGCCAGAACTGTAGCATCAGCAACTGGACAGGAACAACAGGATGCCGGGCCCTTGGAGGGATCAGGAATGACCAGGGTCGGAGGCCTGGGGAAGAAAAGGAAAGAAAAAAGGAAAAGGAGAGGAAAAGAAAGCCGCCCCTGCCCCTAATTAAGAGGAGGGGGGTTGGACCCACCGGGGATGCTTTCAGCAAAATCCCCATCCTGTTTTTGACATGGTTGTGGGCCTCCTGTATGGCCATATGGAGCCACGTTGAGCGTCTCTTTTCCCTTCCCCTACTGAAAATCCCCATCCTGTTTTTGACATGGTTGCGGGCCTCCTGCATGGCCATATGGAGCCACGTTGAGCGCCTGTTTTCCCTTCCCCTTTGGGGAGGTTGCAAGGTTGCAGCACAAAAGCGGATGCGTTGAAATGCAGGGAAATGGCTTGCAAAGGGCAAGCCTGTTCTTGATCAGGCCTTGTCTGTCAACGGAGGCTTGAATGAGGCCATGTTCACTCTCTCTCTCTCTCTCCCTCCCTCCCTCCCACCTAGGACCAGACAGGGGACCAGACAGCGTTTCCCCTCCTCTCTCTGCAATCTCATTGCCAGGGTCACAGCGCACTGGCTCTGTATTTATAGCCATGGCTCTGCCCCCCCCCCAGTGGAGCAGGAGGCTCCGGATGGGGCTTCTTTAGGGCTGGCCTCCTCCACAAGGCCCCCAGAGGAGCAGAGGGTCCCCTCTGGCCTGCTGGGGAGACGCCGCCCTTCCTCTTCCTCAGCATCGCTTCTTCCACGGCTTCACCGGACACAAATCCCGACTCAAGGCATAAAACATACTATCAGGTTGCAGCCTGGATGCAACACTTTCCCTGATCTGTATCCATTTCAAAATATTTGCTGTGACTTCGGGGAGCAAACGTAACATAACCCAAGCATTCCAGGGTGCAATATTTCAGCGACCACTCCTTTTATCTTACTTTTAAATCGCCCTTTTGCAACATTGCTAGTTTGTATTCTTTCTGCCCGTAAGCAAACTTTTTTAACTTCCTGGAGAAGCTTTAAAAACAAACAAACCACAACTTCCTGGAGTTTGGCAAACAAGTAAACATACACACAGAGGTTAAAACACAACTTGTATAGATACAAAGGTATCGATCAAGAAAAGCATTAAAATACCATGAAGCCCCAGCTTGGGAGGGGGGGCTGACATCTTACACAGATAACTACCTAAATCTCTCAGTCTACCTTTTAAAACGGATCAAACCGGACATGCCCCATGCTAGGAGCAGCATGCGACCGAGATGAGTCCCAGCAAAAGGTTCCATCCTGCTCATCCTTCCGCCACACTCTGGATCAAGGGATTTTTCAGAATGTCTGATTCAACCGGCATTCATAGCGTTCAGAGAAATACGAGTAACATCGGCCCAGAGTCTGGTGCTTTTACAGGAACGAGTACTCCATCTGGATATGGCCTTACAGTACTTCACTGACAGATAAGAAAACCCCGGGGATCTGTGGTGGGAAGAGTCAAGCCAGGAGCCGGCAAAAATAGCTTAAATTCCCCCAAGAAAACACGGAGTCCTTGACAGTTCCAAGGCTACCCCTTGACACCCACCTGCAAAAGGCGGGCTTCTCTCTCCCATTCTGGTTACTCACCAACAACTTCTGTTTCCTTTAACCAGCTGTCAAGTAGCAAGGTGTGTGTGTGTATGTGTGTGTGTGTAAATATTCCCCAGCTTATAGCTACCAGCTGTGAGAGCTCGCTCAAGGAAGGACCGTCTAATGAGAGAGGCCAATTCCATCATCATAGTTTATGTTCAGTCTACCAAAAAGCCACCTCTCGTATCCAAAGGGATTCCCCAACCGTCTTTCCTAAAAAAAAGAGAGCTCCCCAGGTATGAATAATATGTGCAATTGATGAATGATTTTAACAAGCATCCCTAGTAGGATGAGACGTCGCTGTTTTGACTTAAG